ATGTAGTACTATATGATCCTGTTTCGTAAAATTAAAAAAAAAATTTGTGAGCCACAAAAAATTTCAAAAAATGGACGTTTTTGGACCTTTAATCTAATATTACAAAAAATCCTGACCTGATGTGTCATTTTTGAGGTTTTAAACATTTATCATGGAATTTCTTTCCTTTTTTCATGTAGCCAGAAATCTAAAATATTTCACTGAATCCAATCATTCAATGTTGTTTGATTGCAACTTTTGCCACAACCTACAAATAGATCTCCATCTTTGGTGTCAATTATATCAATTATTTTGTCATCAGACATTTTTTTTCTTTAAAAGTTCTTAAGCATTTTAAATTAAAATAATAAAATTAAAACGAAACGATAATACATGACTGAAATGAAATTAAATGGTCTGAATCAAATAATAAATAAATCATAATAAACCGTTATGGATATTAACTGTATTTATAATAATTTCAATTATGTTTTAAAAAAGTAGTAAATAAGAATAAGAAAATTGTTTCAAGTATTTTTACTTATAAAGTTGTATTTTTCTTTTATGATCAATTTTTATTGATATAGTTTTTCAAATTATCAATTTAAAACATTTATATTTACAGATTTAGTATATAGAAAATTTGAAGAAAAGAAAAAGCTCAAGGAAAAAAACCTAAGTCAGGACAACCGCACTGTAATAAGTAGGAAGATGGTCAAGACGTTTTGCAGAAGGTGCATTTCCGAAAAAATTAATGACGATAATAGAAACAGGCCTAACACGGCTGAAATAAAAGAATTGTTGAAAATTCGAGAGGAAAGAGGTAAATGAAGTTTATATATATTAATGTTATATTTTCTAATTCACAAGGTTGCTTATATATTTTGAAAAGCTCATAATGAAAAAATTTCCAAGATCTTACAATAAATTTATTGAATCAATCTTTAACATTCTGCACGTATGGAAAATGTTAGTACCTTTAAAAAGGATTATGGAGTTTATGGTTGTAACTACACACCATAGAATTGCCCATGTATGATAAAATAAAAAAAAATTTAAGATTCAAGTAGTCCCAAGTATTCTAAAATTTTTGTTTGGGTCTAAAAAGCATAAAAAATATTCTCAGATAAATTTTGAGTAACTTTATGGTGTATGGTTGCAACCATAAACATCACAATATTTCTCAAAATTTATTTGACAGTGTTTTTCATGTTTTCCAGACCCATAAAAAAATGTTAGAACACTTGGAACTACTTGAAAATGAAAATAATCATTATTATCGTACACGGGTAATTCTATGGTATATAGTTGCAACCATAAACACCATAAAATTACTTGAAATTTATCTGACAGTATGTTATATGCTTTTTGGACTCGGCTGGGCTTCAATTCCGCCTTTTCCAGTTGTTCAAATACCGACTGTACATGACCTATTAATCAAAATATGATTCTACTCAGTTTTTTATTCTCCTTAGACCGACTCTACAAAAAGGTTCTGCGGGGGCTGTATAAAAGGAATATAATACATTTATAGAAATACCGATTTTTCACAGACCGACTCTACAGCGACCAATTTTACATAAATAAATTTTCTGAAATTTTTCGGACCGACTCTACATGAAAACTTCTTTTTAATTTGTCGAATGTTTCAGACCAACTCTACAGGGACCGATTCTACATTGACCAACTTTACATGGAAAGACAGTCTCAAATTTTCGAATTTGGGACTACTCTACATGAAATCTTCTTTTCAATTTGTCGAATTTTTCAGACCGAATCTACATCAACCAATTTTACATGAAAAAAATTTTTCGAATTTTCGAAAATATTGTACAAATTCTTTTAATTAAAATTGGTCGATGTAGAGTAGGTCTGTGAACGATCGAAAATGAAATAAAAATGCATGTAGAGTCGATCTATCAAGAGTAGTTACGGGTAGGACCGACAAATAAAAAATTGTTTAGATGCAGAATCGTCCCTGTAGAGTCGGTCTGAAACATTCGTCAAATTGAAAAGAAATTTTCATGTAGAGAGGGTCCCTGTGGAGTCGGTCTGAAAAATTCGAAAATTTGAAACTTTCTTTCCATGTAAAATTGGTCCATGTAGAATCGGTCCCTGTAGAGCTGATCTGAAAAATTTGACAAATTGAAAAAAGTTTTAATGTAGAGTCGGTCGATGCAGACGCGGTCTGAAAAATTTGAAAAAATTTTTTTATGAAAAAAGTGGTCGATGTAGAGTTGTTCTGTAAAAAATTGGTATGTCCATAAATGTATTATATTCCTCTCACACAGTCCCCGCAGACCCCTTTTGTAGAGTCGGTCTGAGGAGAATAAAAAATTGTGTAGAATCATATTTTGATTAATAGGTCATGTACAGTTGGTATATGTGAACAACTGGAAAAGGTGGAATTGAAGCCTAGCCTTGCCGGCCGGGGTGGTTACTTCCGATTTTGGGTTTTAGTTTTCCATGATAACTCCATAAGGACAATAAAATTCTTATTAAAAAAAATATAAATTTTCTTTGAAAAAATGACGGCCCTCTAAAGGTTACAAAAAAGTAACTAAGTTACAAGTTATATAAAAAGTAATTAGAATCTTTATAAGAAAACTTAAAAATTCACCATTTTGAAATAAAAATGTTTTTTTAATTAAAGTGGGTTTTAATCAAAATGTGGAATAGGGTAAAGTACTGTTAGATACGCACCAATTAGAAAATTGCGTCTAAATTCAATTAATTAAACATTTTTAATAGTCAGAAATATTGTTGGTTCATAAGTAGGAGATATGAATTCAATTTCTTCTTAGAACGAGTAAGAGTGAAATTTAGTGCCAAGTTATAGCACCGGATTTTTAAAGGGCACACACTTTAATTTCTGACCTAATTTTTGTTCGTTGATTATAATATTTTATTAGTTTATTCAAAATCATATTTGAACAATCGTTTTTTATTTTTTAAATTTGAAATTAAATAATTAGAAAATTTTATCCTTTAAAGAAATTTTAAGTGAATTAACAATATATAATAATTGTTTCCCACCTGGCTTAAATCCTTTCACTCAATTTTGAAGTTATATTACCAATTCGACCTACATCTTTTGTACTAATATTGAGGTTATTATGGGATACGATCTCGGTAAATTCACTTCACAATCCTGTGTGTTTAGATTTTTTTTTCTTACACCAGTTGCACTTCCAACTTATTAATAAATTTGCAGTAAAACTTTTTTTGTTTTTGCGAAAATTGTTTGTGTAACTTGATTTACTTTAACCAAAAAATACTTTTAATGACAAGTTTAAATAATAACGTTCAAGTGAACGAACTATTTCTTATTAAAAATAGTTTCAGAAATTACTTATTGCAATAAAAATAATAATTCAAATTCTACATTGATAGATTTTCAAAAATTATTTTTTTATAGTAATTCGAGATTATTGTAATAAAAAATTAATTTGAAAAAGAAATAAATAAATTTTGTTCATTTGAACGCAATTCCGAATTTTAGGATCATATTGACCGATTAAATTTCAATTTTGTCTAGTCGATTCGAATAACTTTCGGCTCGAGTCGATTGAACGCACACCTCTAATCTATGAAATTTTAAACACTGTATTTTTTCTATTTCAGATCAACAAAACGCACAAGCGTCAACTTCTACTGAAGCCCTCAACACAGAGTAAAATGAAAAATTTTGTCTACGCTTTGCTTTGTAATTTTAATTTCTTTAATAAATAACTTTACACAATATATTTCTTGTTAATTCCTCCATGATAATCTTAAATTGCGAAATGATTAAACCTCTATGAATCAATTGTTTTGGATTTAAGTGCACAGGGAGTGCGTAGACAGTTACACAAAAAATTAATTTTCTTTTTAAAAATCTTAAAATTTTATTAAGTTGGCAAATATACTTAAAAATTTTTTTAAACATATATTTTTCCATTTTTTAAATTGTATGAAAAAATAATTTTAATTTAAAAAATTATTCGTTTACAGTGAAGTTAATTTTTTAAAAATTTTGGTAATTATTGACTGGAACAATATTTTTCTATTTTTACTTCACTTTGACAATACTTGAAATTTTAATAGTTATGACTCAAATAGAATTTTTTTAATCTAAATGAGATAACGTAGAGGAACATACACGAAAGTTTCATTCATGTATTTACAGGAACCTTTATATAGATTTCAGAAACACAAGAACCTGTAAGGGAAGCTGTACAGGTTCCTTCATAGGATCCCATTTCCAAGCTTATATCCACGGGGAACTGTACATGTTCCTGTACAGGATCCTCCACAAAAAAAGCTCTCCAAAAACCCACAAAGGTTCCTATACATGATCCTCCTTTGGATCCTGCGAAGGTTCCTTTACAGAATAATAAAGTAAGCCTTCCTGCGCAGGAACCCACAGGGGATCCAGCAGCTGGAAAAATTTTATAAAACCTGATGTTGAGGTTCCTGTGTAGGAACCGGCGAAGGAGGCTTGATATTCAAGGTTCCTGTGCGTGTTCCTGCACGGGTTCCTGTGCAGGAACCTTGTCCCAATATCCCGTACAGGATCCGGACAGGAACACACACAGGATTAGTTAGGGATCCTTATGGGATCCCATACGGTTCCTGTACAGGAACCTCCCGGGATCCCATGAGGATCCTGTACAGGAATTTTAAGCTGGGGGGTGATTCTCCTGAAAATGACCTTTTGGTTAATTTTTGATTTTAGAGGATTTTATAAAAATGTCTTCAATTTTAGGTGTTGCTGATTTTCTTAGTGTTAGTTTATAATTTGTTAAGTAATTTAAAATCAGGTTTGGACAAATATAATCCTGAAAAATTTATACAGGAGCTGTGATTTGTCAAAAAGGTACGGAGATGAAATAGTTTTAGCTCCAACATAGATTTTAGTTAATCAAACTGTAAAAGAATTTTTTATTGCAAAAGTATAAATGCAAAATTTTGACTGTAGATATATATCAACAATTAATAATAAGTGGATTTCGTATAATTAATAAAATAGAAAAAATAATTCAGGAACGTTCAGGAATGTCACTTTCAGGAGAATCATCTATATAAATATAAATATATTTACTAATTTGTTCGGAATTAGCCTTTCCAATATCTTTTAAACTCCAATCTTCACATTTTGGAACTTCCTCTTCAACTTTTCGAATGCCCAAAAAATTTATTTCTGTATTTGATTGAATACTCAATTCAAAATTCATATTGGCCTCATTACAATCCATATGGTGAATTTTTCTTGATGAAACTCCATCTAGATGTAATATCTAAAAAAAATATTTAAAACTTAAAAATTATAATTTTAAAATTTATTCTTTTCCATATAAAAATTTTTAAAAAAATTTATTTATTTAAATTAAAAACTAATTATAAAATTAATTAATATAATAATAATAATAATAATAATAATTAATTAATACATTAAACAATTTTTTTGATATAGTTATTTAAACTTAAATATTGTTCCTTAATTTCCTCGCATTTGGTGCAATTATAGAAAAAAATTTTATTTTAATTATAATATAGCAAGTATAATATAATTTCTTTCTCTGTATGTTAAGAAAACTTTTTAATTAATACTTCAGAGTAAAATAATAAAAAAAACAAATAAAAAATATTAATACCTAATATCTTTTAATACCTTTTTTGAATTCTGAGAAATTCGTACATTTTTTTTTTTAAATAACTTTTCCACTTTTTTTAAGTTTGACAATTTTGTTTTCTTGACATTGACAATAAAAATAAAAACATCCTTTTACTATATTGGTAAAATATGAAACTATTATTGTAATAAAAACTTAATTGAAACAATTTACTACAAAAATTTTATACATAAAAAAGAATTGAGTGTTCTATATTTACTTCCGATATTCTATAATTACTCCTATAATCGGTAATAAAAATAATTTAATTTTTAATTAATAATAATCATTATTATTATTAATTATTATTATTTACTTATTTATTTATCATTATTAATAAATTCTAATCCTAATTAAATTTTTATTTTCTAACGATACACTTATGTAAAATCATCATTTTAAAAGAATTTATATTTTTTTTATTATTAATGGCAAAACATTAAATAGTCTTGTATTGAAATATTAATAAAATAAAAAATTACAGTATTTAAAAATATTAGTATTTATTTTTTAAAGTGAAAAAAAAAATTGTGGGTTCAAAATAATATCGAGTGTCTTTAATGAATTTAATAATAATTATAATTAAAATTAAATTTTCCTTTTTAATTTTCAGTTAATAAAAATTATTTTAATAATTTAAATTAAATAAAATTTTTTATTTAATAATTAAATAAAATATAATTTAATAATATAATTTATTTATGTAAATGAAATTATAAAAAAAATTATGTTCTATAAATATATATTTTTTAAGTTAAAAAAATGTTTAATTTTCATTATTATAATTTAAATTTAATTTAATTTTAGCTTACGAAATTCGGTCGAAGAAATTCTTTTACTCTATCAATCTGTTCATTCCAAATTTTTACTAAGATTTTCGAACCTTGGTCATTATTTAAAATAAATGTTTGCAAGTTTTGCATCCCCGCTTTTTTTGATGGGTAGATTGTTTCTACAAAACCAATTATTTCACTAAAAATAGAATTTTAAAATTATAGAATATTAAAATATATAATTAACATAGTTAATTTGAATTTAAACTACAAATTTTTATTTTTTAAACTTATATTATTATTATATTATATATTATTTATATACTTACATTGTTGAATCTTGAAAAGAAATCGATTTTATCATTTCGTTTGACGAAAAACACATTATTTCTTCCATTTTTGCACATTAATAACCAAAGAAGATAGTAAGTTTAATTTTTTTGTTTGAAACAAAAGAATAACGTTTCCATAGTAACATTTTTTAAAAATATTTAGTTTGACGTCACACTCGATCGGTAAATACACAAAAAATAAAGGAAATCATACTCAAATTTATTTTACCATTTTTTTATTATTTATAGGATTCATAATAAATAAAATTATAAAATATTTATTATAAATTTGATGCGATAGATATTTAAAAAACGAAACAAAATTATATTCTTTGATATTATTATTAATTATATATATATATAAATTCTTATATAAAAAGCGTTTGGTTTTCGTCAAATAAAATATTCAAAATTATTTATCAAATTTCAATTTTAATATTTTTAAAAATTAGTTACATAATTTTTATTTTATAACAGAAATTATAATGCATGATAATAATAATATATAACGAATATTATTATAAACAAAATATATTTTGAAAAAAAATATTTAAAACAATCAATATTCAATATACTTATTTTCTATGAATTATTTTGTATTCTTCAAATATATCTTTAAAATTAATTTTTCCATCTTCGAGAAACTTCAAAAAACTCACATCTACAGAGTTTAAATAAACATTTAACAAAATATACTAAATATATTTATTCTTTATGAATTACTTTGTATCCATCAAATGTGTTCTTAAAATTCATTTTTTGTTCATCAAGAAGTTTCACACAATTCATATCAACAGAGTTTATATAAATAATTTTACTGTCTTCTGAAAAATTAAAATTATTATTATTAATTACACGTATTACTATTATTACATAATATTATTATATTATAAAATAATTTATTTTTTATAATAAATATGAAAAAATTATTTTCATTAAATATATATAATTTAATTATATCTAAAAAAAATTTAATTTTTTATTTATTTACATTGTTTTAATTTTTTTTATTTACATTTATATACATTATATTTTTTTATATTTACATTTATTTATATTATATTTTTTTATTATATACTCACTAGTAAATCTTAAAAATCCCTTCACCTCGACGTGATCTCCTTTGCTGAACTTTTCAGAGTTATTTGTAAAATCTTGAATTCTAATTTCTAGTTTATAGTTGCTATCTGTAATGGACCCTACCCCATAGTAAATAATATCAGTTTTCGTGTTATATTTCAAAATTCGAAACGCTGTCTTCACAAAACCTCGAATTCCTAAAAATTAATATAAAATTTGTAATCAGTTTACTGTTAATTAAATATATTATTTATTTATTATTAATTATTATATTATATATTATTATATAATTATTTTTTAAAAATATTATTTATTAATATTTAATTTATTATTATATACTAATTATTAAATTTGAATAAATAAAATATTAATTAATTAAACTTACGAACGAGACCGTTTTCTGTTTTTAAATCTTCAAAATCTATAAGTTTTATAATTTCGCCTTTTAAATCATTTTTAATACATCTTTGATTTTTTATTAAAGTTACAACTGTATTTTTTCTAATTATCATTTCATATTTTTGATTCCCGTTATTATATTTAGGATCTTTAAAATTCTTTATTTCAGCACCAGCGATGTTTATAACCTTAAAATAATAAAATTAAATATAATTATTATAATAATAATTACAATTTATTAATTTAGCAAATAATTTTAATTAAATCTTTAATAATTTATATATTTTGTATTAAAAAAATTTTAGGTATTTTATTTATAATTTTTAAAATTATTTTTATTTTAATCAATTAAAAAATTAAGTTTTAATTTTATTTTATAATATAAATCAAAAAAGTTGTTAACTCTAAAATCTTTATTATCTTATGAATAATAAATAAAAATAATTTTTAGTTATAAATATCATAAAATAATAAAATAAATAAATATTAATAAAAATTATTTACTTACACTATTTAAAATTAAATCAGGTTCAATTCTATTAATTTCTTCATTCCACACACTGACATGACATACTGCATCTTCATCATTACTCAAAGTAAAATTCATTATTCGATATTGATTTTCTCCGCCACATTTTTTTGACGCTTTTATACTTTTTACATAACCAGTAAGTTCTCTGAAAACATTTATAATTTTTTTTAAATATGTTTAAATAATATATTTTAATTTTAATGAATTTCTAAATTTTTAAATTTTACATATAATAATGCTGAATTTTAAAATAAAATGAAATAAAATTTTAGTAAACTTTAATTTTTTAAAATTCAGTTAATAAAAAATATTATTTATATATATATTTATTATTATTATATTATATGTATATATATATTGATTTATTGAAAAATATTATATTCTGAATACTCACGAACTTAAATCACCCACACAAATTGCTTCAAATTCGTCTTTTGAACTGTAAATAGAATCTTCTAATTCATCATTATTATTTTCTTTTCCTATTTCCAAATTTGTTTCGCTTTCAATAATATTAACTTCATTTTCGTCTAACATTTTGTATCACCTTTCTCTGAAAGGACTGAAAAAAGTTGGAATTGGATTGCAAAAAATTAACTTTTATATTTCAATTGTTTTTAATAGAAATAAATAAATGACTACGATAAAAAACAAGAAAATAATAAATTATATATAAGAAATATTAAATGTAGATTATAAAAAAATTCTTATTAAAAGTAATAAAACATTATAATATAAAAAAAATAATATAAATATAAAACATTTTTATTTATTATATTTAATAGATTTTTATTTTAATAATGGACATAAATATTTTTTTCCAATAAAAGTGTACTTAAATTTACCAAATTTGATAAAAATCCAATAATGCATCTTACGAATTTTACGTTATTTTTATATTATTTACATTATTATTATATATTTTTTATTTACCACAATTTTCTAGTATTATCTTGAAGCATCAACACATGTGTTATCGGCATGAATCATAATATTCAGTTAGGTTAAGAATACTATGTTATGTAAAAGCAACTACGCTTGCGTCTCGATGACTCTCTGATTGCTTAGAAAAAGCGCCCTTTTATAAAATCTTTTAGTATAATTAAATAAATAAAACAAAATCAATGAATGACTGCATTATTTTTTACATTAAAAATTTTATATATTATAAAAATAGTAGAGTAAAAATAAATTTCCATTAATAATAAAATTTGTTTATTTATATATTATTATTAAAAATAATATAAATTTTTTTAAATTATTAATATTAATATTGAAGGCGCTAAAATTGTAAAAATTGAAAATCAACAATATCACAGTGGATCATCAATCTACCAGTTGGTAATTAAGGAAAATAAAAATATTACAAGATTTGGATGATTGTAATTTTTTAAAAATATTACTAAAATAAAACATTAAAAATTAATTTAAAAAAAATTGTTTATTCTCATTTTAATAAATAAAATAATAAAAAAAATTGTAAATCGAAATAAATTATTATTATCAACATAAAAAAGTAATATAATTTTTAACAAAATTAGAAATATATATTTACATTAAGAATATATTTTACAAAATATCTAAAAACAAATCAAGAAGTTGAGGTTTCTGAGAGTTGAAATCTCTTTATCTTTATGTCTTTATATGTTCATTTTATGGACATTTTTCTACTTTATTAAGAGAGAGTATAAGTTTTTGTTATTTAATTTAATATTTAATATTATAATAAAAGTAAAATAAAATTTACTACCATTATGTTTTCAAAATTAATATTAATCAGCAAATAATTTATCAATAACTTTTTTTGAAAATAATTTATATTTTTGTTTTGATCACATTTTATAAAAAAAATTTTTAGTGATATATAAAAATTTTTCTAAATTTTTATTCTGAAAAATGAGTATTAAATTTGTTTAATTTTTAATCACAAACAGTTTATATTAAATTAATAATAACTTTTACAGTAATTACTTTTTATAAAAATAATATATGATTAGTAATATAATTACAACAAAATAAATTATTTACAATAATATTTTCCCAAAAAAGTTTTAAACTCACCTCTATGATTTTTAAATAAGAGTATTTATTATTTTTTGGTGATGTAATTAGTAAAAAGAACATAAAGAAGAAATTATTTTTTCAAAATAATGAATTCAATTGAGAGAGCAGAATAAAATTTAATTTGAAAACGAAACTCAAACATAAAATTCAATTATTATATATATAACAGAAATTAAATTATAGTTTAAACTTTAAAATTTTTTTTATATTATAATTCAGAGTTGCTACGCTTTCTGGGAACCAGGAAAACCTAAAATAATCAGGAAATTTTATTTGTTATGGAAAAATTAAGGTTAAGTCGGAGAAAAAGTATAAAACACACGGAAAAAATAAAATTCATCAAAATCTATTAAAAACTGTTACAAAACAATGTAAAATTTAGTTTCTTTAAAACAATTTCTTCATAATTGTCAAAGATACGACAATTTATGTTTTAAAGTTGAATTAAATTTGTAAATAAAAAATTCACAGTTTTTTGTCTTTATCAACTAAAATAATAATCTAATAATTTTAGAGACCAAATTGTTTATGATGAAAATTTAAAAACATAAGCAAAGATGTGCATTTTTAAGAATTCGATTATTTTTATATTTAAAAAAAAGAACAATAGTATTTTTAATACACTAAATTTATTACAACGATTGAATATATTCTTCAAATAAAGTTAATTAAATTTTTTGTCTAAGAATTTATATAATTGTTGTCATAAAAGTTTAAATTTTAGTTAATTTATTTTCATTGTTAATAAAACAAAAGAATATTAAAAGTATATTAATTTGTAAAAAATATTTAATATAATGATAAACTTTACTGTATTTTGATAAATTCTGTATATTTAATAACTATTTTTTACATAAACCATACTTTTATGGAGTATGAAAAAATATCATTTTAAGCCCTGGAAAATCTGGAAAATTTTAGGAATTTTGTTTAAGAAAAATCGTAGCAACCCTGTAATTGCCATTGCCATTTTTATAATTATTATTTTTTTGCCATTTTTATCAATGCTATTATTTTCATTGCCAATTTTGATTATTATTATTAGTAATAAAATTATTATCAAATCATTTATAAATATATGCCATTTTTATTATTGCCATTAATATTGCCATATTATTATCATTGCCAATTTTGATTATTATTATCAGTAATAAAATTTTTATCAAATCGTTTATTAATAAATAAATAAACATATTATCTACATATAAATTTTTGTATATAAAAATAAATAAGTATGGAATTATAGTATTTCATGATAAACAATATTTTTAATATATAACTTTTCTGTAAATTCTGAATTTTTGATAACTGCTGAACCTACGGCATAAATTTTTAGATGTTCCTTAGATTTGACTCGAGAACAACCAACATAAATTTGACCGTGCCCAAATGCTGAAATTGGTAAAAATATTCCTACTCTATCAAATGATTGACCCTGAGATTTATTTATTGTCATTACATATGCAAGTCTAACTGGAAATTGTCTTCTCACCATCTTAAAAGGATATGTATCTTGTGGAGGAGATAAATCTATACGAGGAATAAAAACAATTTCGCCTTTAAATTTTCCTGTAATTATTTCTGCAGAAATTACGTGTTTGAGTAAAGATTTTACAATTAATCGCGTTCCATTACATAATCCTTGCACCAGATTCATATTTCTTAATAACATAATTATACAGCCTATCTTCATTGTTAATTTGTGTGTTGGTAAACCGTCTGGTGTTAGACTATTTAAAAATTCAATTGGAACGATAGTATTAATATCTTTTGGATCATCCTCGACATGTGAATCAATACTGTAATATACTACTTCTTCTCCTTCTAATTTTGATAAAATGCGTTCATTCATATCTAGTACTTCAGAATTAGTTAATGAAAGAATGCAAGAAGAGTAAACCGAATTATTATTTGGACTTAGTGATGATCCATATATTTCATCAATTAAATTTCCTTTGGATACTAATTCCTGTGGAATTTCTAAAACATTATTTTCTCTTTCGAAAGCAGTTTGAAATTTACCGTTACCAACATTTAACAACCAATTTGAAAACTCTATCTGATTATTATTTAATCTAATGTTAGAATTTAAAGACCTAGTTTTAAAGTGTCGCCATAATATACTATTTTTCACACATACCTCAACAATGTGAGTGCGACTGCCATGTGGAACAATTGGCAAAGTTTGTCTGAAATCTCCTGAAAGCAAAATTACTTTACCTCCAAACGGTTTATTACATTTTGTAATATCTCTCAACATAGATTCCATTGCTTGTAAGGCGTATTTAGGTGCCATTGTTATTTCATCCCAAATAATAATTTTTGCACTTCTTAAAAGTTCAGCATGTTTTGACATCCCACTTATATTACATGTTGAATCTTCATTGATAGGGATAGGAAATTTAAAAAGAGAATGTGCCGTTCGTCCACCTTTTAGAAGATTAGCTGCTATACCCGTCCATGCAACTGATAAAACTACCAATTCTTCACTTTCAACAGTAGTAATAATTGTATTATGTAAATAACTTTTACCACTACCACCACATCCATCAAGAAAAATATATCTACTATTATAATTATCATCATGTATTGCCATCATAACCTCATTGAAAACATTGCGCTGTTCATTAGTCAAACTTTTAATCAAAATTTCAGCTTCTTCTTTAAGCAGTTGTAATGCTAACGCATTATTTTCTTTCTCTATTAAAGCATTATAATCTTCTAGAACTTTTTGTTCAATATTTGGCAAACCAAATTGATGTAATGCATAACCGTGATAATTAAGTACTTCATTAATTAAAATTAAAGATTTTTGAATTGATACTTCTGCAGGTAATTTATTATCATATATCATGTGTTCTTTATAATTATTCCACAAATCAACTGCATTTACAGGTATTCCAAATACACATATGTAAGCAAATAGACGACAAAGTTCTTTAGGAAATTTCATGCTTACAGCTTCATTTAAACAATTATCCCATTCATTATCATCTATCATTAAATTTCTTGCACGTGCTGCTTCTGCAAAAGTATTATATATAATACCTTCATATGTTCTTACATCTTCAAACGATTTTGCACCACGTACATAAAGTAATAAAACTCTCAAAAAATACCTTTCAATATCTTTTGGACTTACGAAATACATACGACAAATTATAGGTTTATTAATTTTCGATCTTTTCTTCCAACTTTTCGTCGGGTCATCAAATACATACTCATGTGGAATATCTGAATACAAATACTTACGCGCCTCTACATCTTCTCTGTTTAACTTGAACCATGCTGTTAATGTCGTATCTTTAAAATTTTTAAATGCGTCTTCTTCTAATCCTTCCTTAAAGCATATTGATTGTTGATTAGGTAAATGTACAGCTAATCTCTTAGTTGCATGTGATTGTTCATGCATTTTAAATTCATATAATCTGTGCATAGCTTCTGGAGGACATACATAACGTGTATTTAAGTAATGTTGAATTTCATCATATTGCATTTCTTGATTACTATCCATATAACATATTATTGCACAATCGTGACCTTTGAAGCAATATTTAAATAAATATTTAAACCCACCTGTACTACCACATGGTACTGGACAAATATGACATTCAAATTTTACACTTAAATATGGATTGTATGGTACAATCATCGAATTATCTGCAGTGCATTTAACTGAACCATCTTTATTATAAAAAATTATTTTCTTTCCATCATTTCTTCGCCTGCATTCCGGATAATTCTTAGAATCAAAATTAGTTTCTGAACAAAATGGCTTTGGATAATGTTTTGTACAAACTTTCTTCTCAGGATCCATGCAAGGAGAATTCATATTTTGTTTTCCACAAGGCCCATGAACTTGAAACTGCTTTACAATTTTAAAAAGTTCTGGATTTTTTGTTTCATCTGGAATTTCTGCACATATTATTTTATCTACAGTTTCTGCATCACGAATTGCAAATCGTTTATCTAAAAATATAATCAAATGTATATGTGGCAATCCACGTTTCTGAAATTCAATTACATACACAAACGCAATAACAGGACCAAAAATTTCTTTTTCTTTTATCTCTATCATTAAATCTTTTACCTTTTGTTGAAAAACTCTAGCTACAAGATCAGGTCGATCAGAAGCGATTTCATTACCTACCAAATTTTCTGTAATTTCACGCCATTTTGGATTACATGTCATAGTAATAAACAAGTCTGGCTTTCCGAATTCTTGAACTAATCGCATAGAATCCATAAACGATTGTTGATAAGAACGTGGTCCTCCAGTAAATGATGAAGGTAAAATAATCATTTTTCCTGGTCGAAGGTTTTCTTCTTTTGCTTTATTGTTTATATAATCCATTAATCCACAGTACAATTCCGCTCGAAGCTTTTTTTGCTGTAAACGAATATACTTTAATCGCTCACCTTCTACTTTTGACCAGATATCTACAATAAATTGTTGAGTTAATTTTCCTGATCTTAAAAATATATTAAAACCTTTTCTATATGCAAGGCGAAACATATAATACTGTAAGGCAGTAATATTACGAGAACCTTGAGTATTCTTGAGGTTTACAGTCCATCCAGGATCACCATGAGGAAATATCAAAGGATACGTCATAGGATCAACATTTGCACTAAGACTGGATATTGGAATGCTTTTTGAATTTTTTGGGTGTATACATATATCTCGCTCCATTGGAGGTTCACCATCTTCACTAACAAATATTAATGCCACTTCATTACAATGCGGAACATTGAATGTTTTCTGATTTAATGATCTGTCCCGTTTAATCCACATTTCAATATTTCTCATCGGCTGCTTTAAGGACTCAGCTAGTTTTTCTTCTTTAATCTCAAAGTCACGCATTTTTTTAAATGCTTCAGCAAATGGATTAATTTTTCGTAGTAATGTATCTATTTCATTCAATAATTTCGGTAATAATTTACTATTGAATTTATTGTTTAGTCTTTCCTCTACAGCTTCACTTGAATCAATTATGTATAACTGACCATATTTACGTCTCTCATCATCATTTGGATGCAAAGCGTATGGATTGTGATATACTTGTCCATGTATGCGAAAAACATAAGGCCCATTTCCTTTTGGAATTTCCAGTTGAGCTCCCATACTGGCAAAAGCAAATGCACTGTTATACATTCGAATATTTTCTCTATAATTTTTACCTTCAGAGCTGGAGTCGCATAAAATTTTCATTAATTCATCGGGATAGGGAGTTAAGGCATTCAATTTTATTTTCCCCTTATGACAACAATTACTAAACTTACCATCTGACGGTTTTTCACACATAAAATTTAACGAACCGCAAAACTTACACTCAACATTCATCAAACCTAAATAATTTTTTGGTACTTGATTTTCATCGAAATTTTCGAAAGACACAATTCCAGCTCCTAATGTTTCTAATCTAATACTATTTTTCTTATTGTTCTTACTTCTTAAATTTTTTTCTTGGCGCTCTTTCTTGTCAATTTCTGTTTCCAATGATAATTTCATTTTTTTACATAATAAATTTGTTTTTTGACGTTCTTTCTTTTTATCTTCTGTTTCCAATGATAATTTTTTTTTTGACTTAACAGATTTCTTTTTTGACGTTCTTTTTTTTCATCTTCCGTTTCTAACAATAATTTCTTCCTTTTACGTATTACATCTTTTTCTTTGGCCTCATCTTTATTTTCAACTTTCGTTTCTCGATATTTGCGTTTATTCTGTTTATCCTTCTCTTGTCTGTTTTCTTTTTGTTCCTTCGATTCTTCAAGTCTTGCTTTCCTTTTTCTCTCTTTATCTTTTATAGAACGAAGATTTTTTTTCTCATTTTCTTTACACAGGGCACTTTTGATCACTAAATGGTCAGTTGATGAAATATTGTTCACATTATTTGGAGTGACGTCGTTAGACTGATAGGAAGATTTTGATTTTTCACACCGTAATTCATTAGCTCGATTTTTAAAAAGACATTGCCAATCACACTCAACAATTGAGTTCCTAATGCTACATGTTCTTATTGCCGGAAAAGGAGTTAGGTGATTATTTTTAAACATTAAACCTAAATGCTGTCTCATTTCACTATGAATGAAATCAAGGGTATTCGGTATCAAATTAAAATTTAAACATGTTGCAATTGCTATTGCAAATATACCACAATCAATACCATTTGGTTGTTGATGAACTGCTGAAAAAACTACTACTGGTTTGAAAGGATATAATCTAATTAGATATTTTTTTTGATCCTCATTTAAACAACCTTTATTAAGACTATCATAAATATAAAGTCTTAATCCATCATAATAAGTGCAAATCCAATGACCAAGATTACAAGAACCACTAAAAAGTATTTGAATATGCTTTTGATTTCTTTCGATAGGAATAATGTAATCAAGCATATTTAAATACAAAGTACTTTGCATATTAAAAGTGAATTTGATTCTCTTCGCAACAGTTTTTCAAATTCAAACATGTGATTATCATTTAGCATTTCACCTTCAGTATCTATTATTTTAAAATCTGCATCACTTAAATTAACATACCTTTCTCTGTTAAACATGGTTTTCTTCATCAAATTCATAGCTACAAGCGAAAACGTACCTCGACAAAAATCTTCAATTTGCACCTTCCTGGCAAAAAATTATATACACATAACTAATAAATATAAAAATTAAACAATTTTTTAACTTGATTAATTTTATATTATTGTGTTATTGATTTGTTGCTACACATATAAATATTAAACTTTAAGATTATCCAGTAAGCAAGCAGCACGGTCAGTGCCGTATTAACCAGTAAGCTGTATTAGGCTGTAGCCTAAGGGCGCTTCTTTAAAAGGGGCGCCTCGTCAAATGTATAACAAAGTTTTTCTTAAAGCCATATGGTAAATTCACACATGACCAATAGGGGAAAAACATGGTTTGTTAGTACCAAGTATTCTCTGAATTGAGAAAAGATATCGGGCTGTAATTTTCAGGGATGGGAGAGAAGCGTACAAGGAAGCGCGCTCTCCTCGGTTCAAAAGATAATATTTCGCGAAAATATTAAAAATAACAGTTATACAAATCTCATTTTTGAAGGAATTTAAAAAGGAACATGGCGGCGGGATCATAGACGTCGCATGAGTGTATTGTGCGCCCAGGAAGTGGCACCAGATTGTCAACCGGCGGCAGTTGAGTCAACTAAAAATGCATCAATTTGCCATTAAATAGTCCTTTTTCGACCGACAGGGAACCTAATAATCGCATATCTGTGTTTTTGAAAATTTCTTTTTAAAGTCAATAATTTTTAAAGCTAATTAGTATCGAAAAGTGTGTAAGACCCTAAAAACCGTGCTCTAAATGTTTAAGTTTTAAAATGGTGAATCAAGTTTTTTTTAAATTGATAAAACAGTAAAATATAGGCATACCTAATTTAAATATTTTTTTAACGAAAATTTCAAAATTACTCTTTGCTCGACACTTGTTATTCAGGGATTTTGAGATGGCTAATTACGTATCCGATGTCAATTTTTCAATACTAAAAATGGTGAATCCAATTATGTCGGAAGAAATTTTTAAACGTCATGAATTTCACTTGAAAATTTTTACTTGGGGATTTTTTGGTGTCTGATTATGAATCTGAGTTCAATATTTAAAATTTTTTATTCCAAATTGATAATTAGCGATCCAAAAAACCCTCATGTAACAGCTTTTAAACAAATCTGATAAGTTTTTAAAAATTTGTCTGGCATATTGGATCCGTCATTAAAAATTTTTAAAAACAGTATTCAGATTTGTAATTAGCGACCCTAAAAACCATTATGCAAAGAATATTTCAAGTTTTCTATTTAAATAAAACAAAAGGTGAATTTTTTCTTAAAAATGGACAATTTAAACCATTTTAATTTTTCTATATTTTTAACATTGATATTTAAAAGTATTCAAAAGAAAACAATTATTTCGCATTTAAACATTTCAACACATTTTTCTGACGTTTTTCCTATCGGGTAAGAGGGCGCAGCGAGTATTTAGTCAAAGGGCGCTTTTTTCTTCAATACGACACTAAGCACGGTATATCCTCCGAATATCGCCTGAATACCACCGTAAAATATTCCCATGCTCTTCTAGGAAACTCAAAATGTCCGTAACATAAGAATATTCCTCGATGCCATTCAGGAAATATTTGCTCAATATCACTGGAATATCCCTGAATGTCACTGTGGAATACTCCCATAAGGCGGACATTTTTATTTTTCTAAAAGATCATGGAAATATTCCACAGTGTTATTCAAGGTATATTTAGAGGATATACCGTGGTGCTTGGGTAACTTAAAAATCTTTAAAAATAATAAAATTAAATTTTTTTGAATTATTCAAGTTATGAATATTTACTTAAAAGTTCTAATTATAATTTTTTTGTATATATGAGAGATTCTTTTTCAATCGCCCCAGCCCAAAAAGTCAATGTTCTGGGATTGGCTTCATACTTTGGTAAATTGTTGTCCTATATGATAGTAATAAATCCCTAAAATATAAATTAATTAAAAAAATATTTGTAGAAAGTAGAGGGGGTTGAAGTTTTGACGTTAAGGGTAACATTGTCATTTTCAAATCCGTTTAACTATGACAAAAGTTAATGGATTTTAATTTATCTATAATGAATTTTATTGCATTTTTCACGTACTTTTCAAAAATGTATACAAAATTTAAAAAAAAAAAATTTTGACCCCTTTTTTTTCAAAATCAACCCTTATTTTTCGATTTTCACCCCTTCGGGAATTTTTTTTTGTATTTTTTTTATTTTCATTGGAAAGCTGAGGTTTTTTCCCATGAGCTATGTAAATATGAAAATGGGACAACAATAATTTTGTGAGAAAGATAATATTGAATTAGGCGGTGCCTATCTAAATCCTCAAAGATGATCTCCAGGTACATCCCTTATCGGCACCGCCTACTTTAATATTCTGTTACTCACAAAATTATTGTTGTCCCATTTTCATATTTACATAGCTCATCGGAAAAAACCTCAGCTTTCCAATGAAAATAAAAAAAAAAAAAAAAAAATACCCGAAGGGGTGAAAATCGAAAAATAAGGGTTGATTTTGACAAAAAAGGGGTTAAAATTTTTTTTTTTTAAATTTCATATACATTTTTGAAAAGTACGTGAAAAATGCAATAAAATTCATTATAGATAAATTAAAATCCATTAACTTTTGTCATAGTTAAACGGATTTGAAAATGACAATGTTACCCTTAACGTCAAAACTTCAACCCCCTCTACTTTCTACAAATATTTTTTTAATTAATTTATATTTTAGGGATTTATTACTATCATATAGGACAACAATTTACCAAAGTATGAAGCCAATCCCAGAACATTGACTTTTTGGGCTGGGGCGATTGAAAAAGAATCTCTCATATTTAAGAATAAGTTTATTTAAAATTGTTAAAAAAAATTTTAGAAATTAAATGTCCTCTACATTTTTTGTTAAAAATATTAGTTATTATCCATCAATTTTTATGAATAATTAAAAAAATATTGACAAAAAAATATGTAAAAAAATTAAATGATCTACAATTTTTGTTAAAAATATTAGTTATTATCAATCAATTTTTATCAATAATAAGGCAGTTCAACGTGTGACATAGCGTGACGTCACTTTTCAAAATGGTTGCTCGTCGGAAAACATGCAATGCATTGAAGTAAATGGAGATAATCAGTCTTTTTAAAATAACTTTTGAAAAATTAATTTTTGAACCCAAGTGTAATTGTAAAAGATTTTTTATTTATCGAGATCTATTTTTTTAAATAATAAAAATTAATTTTTTAATTAATTTTATTATTGCTTCCTCATAAAGGAAGCTTTGTAGTCCTTTCGTTTCTAAAATTTTTAAAATGGTTATAACAAATTTTCCTCTGTATATAGAAACATGTTATATGAGATCCTGATCAATTGTCCGGATGTATGTGTGTGTGTGGATCGCTTTTGTGAACACAATATCTGTAATAGTTTATGAAATAAACATTAAGGACCCCTTCCTTGTTTTTATTTATTATTTATTATAATATATATATATAATTTTATTATTTTAAAAAATAGATCTCGATAAATAAAAAATATTTTACAATACACTTGGGTTCAAAAATTAATTTTTCAAAAGTTATTTAAAAAAAACTGATTCGCTCCATTTACTTCAATGCATTGCATGTCTTCCAACGAGCAACCATTTTGAAAAGTGACGTCGCGCTACGTCACAAATTGAAGTGCCTTAAGGCCTAAGCACAATAGAAACGTAACCGGAATCGCAAACAGAAGAATTAGTAAGAGAAGAACAACAATATATGACTAACCTTCTCTAACTCATTCTTCCGTTTACGATTGCTATTGCGATTATGGTTACGTTTCTATTCTGCTCAGGCCTTTATATATATTTTTCTTACAAAATTTAATTTTATCAGCAATATATTTTTATTAAAAAAATTAATTTTTATCAGTAATTTTTTTGTTAAGAAAATTTGTTAATAAAAAATATATATAATTATAATTTTGTATAAAAATTACTAATTAATTTTTTAATAGATAAATTACTGAATATTTTTACAAAAATATGGATTTTAAAAATTAATTTTTAAACATATTTTATAAATCTGTTATTGCAAAAAATGTTTTTTCAAAAAAATTAAATGATCAAAAATTAAATAATTTATAATTAATAAAAATAATAATTAATCAACCAAAAACGCAATTAATTGAATTAACTAAAATTATATATTAAAAAAGTATTTATTACAATTAATAAATTAAAAAATATTTAAAGACTTTTTAAAATATAAAACAAAAAAGTTTTTTGTTATTTGAATTTTCAACTTAAATGGAAAATTGGAAGCTAATTGAAAAATTATTAAAAACAAACAATTCATTTTCATATAAAAAAAATTTTCCATTTTAAAATAAAAAAAATTATCATATGAAAAAAAATTTCTTTTTTTAATTAAAAAGTTTACAGATGACAATAATAATAATAAAAAAATTATTAATTAATTAATAATAATACTAATAATAATTTAATAATAATATAAATTGATAAATAATAATTTATTTATAAAATAATAATATGTAAATAATAAAAAAATTTAAATATTAATATTTGTATAAATATAAATTATTATTATTATTATTATTATTATTATTACATCAAAATATAAAAAATAATAATATGATAATTTATAAATTACGTATAATAATTTTATATAATTATATTATATAATACAAAACTTACCTTTTTATAAATATCAAGAAGGAAACTAAAATGCAGTCGATGAACAATATAGTTTTTTCAAACTATCACTATTACTTATTTAATAATAATCAAGATCATCACATTGAATACAAATCCCACGCGTTAACCATAAAATGTTTCGAAATCGAGAATTGTCAAAACTTTTAGAAAAAAAGAAACGCAAAAACGGCTAAATTCAGGTGTGGACAGACGGAATGAATGAATGAAAACTGAAATTATTATAGTTAATTATCATTATTATTATTATTATTATTATTTTTTTTGCTCAGGGACTATTGGGAAATCTGTATACAGATATCTTGGCTTCCGCATGCCAAGGTTATGTGGGGTTGGTAAAAAAAAGGAGAACACTAAACAAAATAAGCTGTCGAACTACTACCAGCCCCGACTCACTAAAAACCCGTCAACCCTTCTTTGGAGCCCTTTTATCCACCATCGGTACTGTCGTGAAGACTATTGCCTTCGATGGTGGCGCTCCAACTCTGTCGCAAAAGCGACATCGTCCATTCCTGCGGACATCCTGCGTTATCAATTTTTATATAAAACAAAAATCAATGTCAAGCGGAATCAACAGCACACCAGAAAAGAAAACAATAAAAAGTCAATAAATAAAATAAAAAATAAAATAAAATAAACAAAAGTCAAAAAATATAACATAAAACTGTAAAAAGAATAAAATAAATAAACAGAAAATTGTAAAAAGACAATAAAAGACAAAATAAATAATAAAATGAAGAAATAAATATAAAATGGAGACTGTCAATTTCGCCTATTTTCGGCCATCGAGATCCTTTCTCATCATAACAGAGATGATAAAGGTCTCGATGAGCCGACAGTTTTCCTGGGACTGGATCATCAGTGCTACCATGTTCTCCGGTGTAACTGAAGCGTTTACACCGGTGAACATGGCCTGCCTCTCCAAGTCCCATCGACTGCAAGCAAAGAGGGTGTGCTCTGCGTTGTCCACAGGGAACTGGCAGTAAGCACACACTTCACTCTCTCTCTTCTTAAAGCGCTGCAGGTACGAATTAAAACATCCGTGACCTGTCAGCGCTTGTGTCAAATAGTAGGAGACCTCTCCATGGTTCCTACTTAACCAAGTGGCGAGTGTCGGTATATGGCAATAAGTCCATCGACCTTTTACCTCCCCGTCCCATCTTTCTTGCCATTTTTCGACGAGCCTGTGCTTCGCTTCGAAGCGGATGCGGTCCTTGCTGGGTCGATCTTCCTCTTCAGAGGAATTCGCCCCTTTGAGAAGGAGGATAATTTCCTCCCTCTCAAGTGCCAAAAGATCTGCTGGCGGGACACTTGCGAGGACCTGCACAGCGCTCGTAGATGCTATCCGATAAGCAGAGGCCTCCAACATTTGGCATCACCCGTGCTAAATTAGCCGCACACTCTATTGCCTTGTTCGACCAGCAATGCTTCGGTCTTTTCCAGGGCCATTTGAAGACCTCTGGTTTCCAGCCAGCATTTTGCTAGCCGCAGACATTCGTTCACCAATGTCCCGAGAGCTTCCGCCGAGTCGGCAGCGCACACGATCAACGCGTCGTCCGCAAAGCCGACGATTACCGCACATTCGGGCAGGTCCATTCTCAGGAAGTCATCGTAAGATACATTCCATAAAAATGGTTCTACCCTCGAGCCTTGAGGGGCCCCACGCTGCATCTCTTCCTTGAGAATGCAGGTGTCTCCCTCGTATATAACCCACCTGTCGCTTAGATAATTATCCATTATCCGCAACAGGTAGGGCGGTATAACCTTCTGTATCATCGACTCGATGAGATCTTCCCATCTCGCGGAATTGAACGCTTTCCGTATGTCTATTGCTACCAACGCGCAAAAGCTCTTCTTTTTATCTGGTCCCGATTTGTTTTTCCCTTCTCTGGCGATGTCCACAACTGCCTTTATGGCATCAACTGTGGACAGACCTTTGCGGAATCCAAATTGATTATCGGATAGACTATTCTCTCCAGTCAAGTGAGATTGCATTCTCTGCAGAACCATGTCCTCTAGAAGTTTGCCCATCGTATCCAACAGGCATATAGGCCTGTAGGATGAGACCTTATCTAGAGGTTTGTCACCCTTTCTTAGGAGGACCAGCCTTTGCCTCTTCCAGTCTGGAAAGAACTCTCCTCTCTCTAGGCAGCGATTGAAGATGTCCAGCAAAATCTGGGGGGAAGCAACAATCACCTCTTTTAGGATCTTGTTGCTTATCCCATCGATTCCAGGCGCCTTGCCTGTCTTCAATCTTCTACCTGCTGCTTCCAATTCTTCAAGAGTAAAGAGTTCTTCCTCTGTGACTATGCAAGAACTCCAGTCCTTCCTAAGCCACGGCTCTGCAGGAGGAAACAGGGCTTTTATTACCTTTCTGGCCCAATCGGGATTGTCCAGGCAGGGGGTCTTTTGCCTCGTTACTAATTTCTTAGTAACGATTTTAAAAGCCAGACCCCATGGGTCCTTCTTGACGTCCTCGATTAGGTCCTTCCAGCTACGGCGTCGCGACGCGCAGATCTCTTTGCTGAGGTTCTTTTTGGCCTCCTTGTATGCTTCCTTGAGCAAAGGATCTCCCTTAGATCGGGTATAAGTCCTTCTACCTTAGAAATTTTTTTTATGAAATATATACAACTGGATATTTTGAAATTTATAAAAATTAATTTTAAATATATTTTTAGTTCTGTTAAAAACTACTTTTAAGTTTGAGATATATTGACAAAGTAAATTAAAAAATGAAAATTTTAAACAATTAATTGCAGCAAACTTGTTTTGCAAGGTATGCAAGCTTGTCTGTAAAACTCTTGCTGGAAGTTTCTTACAAGGAACACATGATAATATCAACTTATCAGAAACATGTAGTGCAAACTTTCAGTAAATTTCCAATATATATTTGCAGCAAATTTTTTTAGGTAAGTTTGTTAAAATAATACATTAAACTTTCTACTTTCGTACGAAAGGAAGCTTAATATTAAAAAAAGAAGAGAAAACAACAAATAAATAAAAAAAACAATTGCGTTCTTCATTAAAAGAACAAATAATATTTCGCTATGTAAAAATTAATTTACGTTAAATAAAAAAACCTCACGCAAAAATTATGTTTATAGACGATTATTAAAAAAATGAAAAGTATATCATTTTATTGTAAAAGAAAATAAAAAATCAGGGTTGTCACTTACCTGGACAATCTTGAAAACTTGGATTTGTCATGGAATTTTTTTTAGTCATTGGAAACCTGGAAGATCTAGAAATGTTTGGGAATTTTATGAAATATCTTTCTGAAAATTTAATTTTTTGCATTTCAATCGAAAAAACCTCAAGTTTCTAAGTTGACAACTTCTTGGTTTTAAATTTACTGCTTAAAATTGAAATCAATATGAAGTTTTTAAATCTTAGTCTCTATAAGTCAAAAATGTTCTTTATAATATGGTTTATTAGTTCATTATTCCAATAATTTCATTAGTTTAAATTTCCAATGGATCGAATCTCTTATAATTGAACGGATTTTTAACGCGAGTTAGATATTTTCCGTAAAAAAATATTCGCAACACGCATGATGGCGTCTTTAATTAATTGACGAATATCTTTTGCTTCAAATGTCATCTAAGCATCACTTTAAGTGCTAGTATAAAGGAAAAATTTTTTCCTTCCTGTGTTCAAAAAATTTTTATTATTTTCGACACATTTATGCCAATTTACGGAAGCCGCGTTTTCTGTGACCACGTTGTCGATGCACGTGGCCGACATTTTGGATCTTGCCGATGCCTGGCTACCTGGACTGCATTTCTTCCACTATTCCCACCGACTTTGATGGGCAGTGGACTTTTTACTCGTCTGCTGGTACCACTCAGCTTCTTTTTCTCCACCTGGGCGACGACCTTGGCGTCATACTGGCTGCAACCTGTCGCAGATTTTGGTGACTAGAGCTGTATATTATTTAAAAAACGCATTGGAATTTACGCATGGGTACTTTAATAGCACCCATGCAACAGGTACGTTATTTTTTCATACCTGAATTTCTTTCTTGTTTCTTTTTGAAACATTCTTCCGCGCCTGATGAGTACATTCTTTCATGATCTCAACTGCGTGGATGAGTCAACCTGGTGCCGAGGACACCCTTTCAATTGAGGGATGTTTCCTGTTCAGCGCTTTTTATTGAGTGAAACCTTAAATTCCTGTTTTTGATGACATCTTAACAATGCTCGCATTACATCTGAAAATACTAAATTTAATCATGTAATTGCCGAACTTGATCCCGAAATTTTGATTTGCGCGCGCGATATTTTGCTGATTCGACCTATACCTGCGGATATTTATACTCAAGTCAAGAATCGAATTATTGCTACTTATTCTGTTTCCACAGAGTCTCGACTACGTCAGCTTTTAAAGAGCGATATTTCTACGGATGGAAAACCTTTCCAGGATATTAATGCGATTACGTGGTCTAGGCGACTCACATTGTAGTGACGAGGTTATCAAATCGGTTCTTCTTGACCAACTTCCAGCCTCAACGCGTGTTATTTTTAGCCGCCTCTTGAGTAACAGATCTCCAGGAACTCGCGGATCTTGCCGATAAGGTACACGAAACAACCGTTATTTCCAATTCTTGTTCCGCGATTAATTCTTCTTCCGCTAGTTCGGATTCAAGCTCGTTATCTGCAATTAAAACTAAAATTAGTGAATTATCAGCTCAAGTCAGCGCCTTGAGTACTAGATTATCGCAACAGGGAAATAATCGCTCTCGATCAAGATCCCGAAATGATCAGAAAAACAGTAGAGATCGCTCTTCTTCTTTGAGCAACAGAGCAAACTGTTGGTATCATCATAAATTTGGCGATAAAGCAACCAAATGCAAACAACCATGTTCTTATTCAGCGAAATCGAATAATGGACAAAACGACAACAAACGTTTGGAAAAGTAGATATGCCACCCCGTTCGGAGACTATCGGGTTTGGCGTAAATTCTAAGCGTCTCCACGTTCGCGATCGTAGATCAGGAATGCTCTTTTTGATTGATACGGGTTCTGATGTTTCTCTTCTTCCTATTAAACCAAATAATAAACTCAAACCATCCGAGAATTTTCTTTATGCCGCTAATAACTCGAAAATACCAACATTCGGTGAACAGCGCATGTCCTTGAACATCGGACTCAGAAGGAACATCAATTGGAATTTTTGTTTAGCCGCAGTGCCTTATCCTATCATAGGGGCAGATCTCCTTGCTAACAATGGCATTATTGTTGATCTCTCTCAACGAAGATTGATAGACTCAATTACCGATTTAGTAACAAATTGCGAAATTCGCAAAGTGTCTTTATGTAGTTTGAGTACAGTCAATCACGAGAACCCTTTCGCCGATATATTGGCCAAATACCCGGAAGTAACGGGCCCCGATCAGGGCATCGCAGGCAACACTCGTGACGTATATCATCATATTGTGACAAGTGGTCTTTCTCTTGCTGAGCGTGCTCGTCGCCTTTCTCCTGACAAATGCGACGCAGAAAAGGCTCAATTTCAAACTTGGC